GATTTATATAAATTATTATTCAATAATCTATGATTAGGTTAGTATTGTTTAAAATTAATGACTTTATTTTTTAATTATTTAATTCTCATACTATTAATAAATAAAAATCAGATTATTTTAAAAATACATTTTTAAAAATATTATCAAAATATAATAAATTAGATAACAACCACAAAGTATTATATAAATATTATATATGGAATTACTTTATTTATAATAATATATTATATATATATTTAAAATATTTATTTATGTCGTTTGGTTGACCTTAGAAAAGATATTAATATTAAATTAGTTTTTAAGCATTTTTGTGAGCACTCATTCAAAAAATTGTCTCAATTTATATATTAAGAAATAGTCTATTAAAATACAATAGAGATTTGCAAAAAACTATCCCTTAAGCTTTTTTAAAAAATGCTTAATATTGTAATGTAATATAATTATTAAAATGTCAAAATTGTTTTATAACTTTACTCAAACAATAGAAATATATTTTATATAAATATAATTTTTGGCTTATTTTTTTACATTTAATCTAATAATTATCATAATATGTTTTTATTTAAAAATATAAACATTATTTTTTAAATACATGCTAAACACTATTTATATAAATATTTGTAAACAAACAAACAAATAAAAATTACTTGTGCTACTAAAGTTGTATAATTATATTATGAATATTTTTTGTTAATCTAAATATAATTAATGTAATCACAAGTGATTTATTCAAATAATAATCAGTTATTCATTTGTAAAAACAATTATCAACAAATTTAACTGAAGATAAAATTGTTTTTTAAATAGCAATAATAATAGTATTTATTATGTATGTACTGAACATTTTACAATAAAATTATTTAACACATGATATCTCGTGTATAGTATGGTTGACATTGAAAATAAGCTAAAAACTGTTATTTCTATTTATTTTTTGATGATATTTTTTAAGGAATCTTGATTTTTATAACCTATTATTTGTAAATAAATAGTGTCAAAAAACTCATTTTAATTATAGATATTAAATGCATTTTCAATATTGAAAATATTTTTATTAAAAGCGAGACACTATTGAGTGTTTTCTTTTAAATATATGTAATTTTTATTTATAAATCATATTTTATATGTTTCATAGACTATGAATATTATCTATATTATTTCATTTTATGTTAAAAAAAATTCACCTTTAATGATATAAAATATTTATTTAAAAATATAAAATAATGTTGATTTTATTGTTACATTCACTAAAAATTCAAATGTTATAAATAATTTTTTTATGTTTGACTTTATTCTAGAAACTATGTTACAAGTTGTAACTTACAACACATTTATTAAAAAAACTTATTTGTTTTGTAACATTAATCATATCTATCGATGGTTTTGTTGAGAAAAAAACAAATAGGAAATTGAGGATTATCTCACTAACCCATAGTTTTTAAAACCATTAGCGATAATGATGTTTGTCATCCAATACCACTACTCGTGTGATTTAATAATCACTTCCGTTATTAATTTTTTTTGTGCAAAATACTAATGATTGTAATTTATTTGAAACAAATAAAAAAATTGATTTATTGAGACTGTGATTAACCATTAAACTAAAACTCGATTGAAATATTGTATATATTGTTCATCACAGCCTTCAATTTGTTGACAAAAACAATTTTATTTAATGTTTTTAAAAAATATTTTTTAGTTTAAAATAATAGACAATTTAATAAAAAAATTCTCACGCATAGATTATATAGATATAATTTTTAAAAATTTTTTAATTTAATTTTTTAATATTTCCCATCTATTTAAACAATCGCGAAACGATATTGTATGTGAATTTGCTATTAAAAAAAATCAATAGTTGTATAATTATTAATATTTAATTAAGTGTTTATGATAACTTGAAATAAAGTAGTAATGTTGTAATTGACATAATTTTATTTTTTGTTATAAATTGTCTCATACGGTATCTCATAAACATTTTCAATAAACTTTCAGATATATTATCAATTACTATTCAAATGGATAACCAATTTTATAACAACTAAACTTGTATTGTTAATAAACACTTTTATAACAAAACTTATATTTTATTGATCAATAAATTACCAAAAAGTATTTATTTTATTAATAGGTTTTGAATTAACAATAAAATGATTCAAAATAACAATAAAATTTTCCATAAAATAACTTGAATTCAAAATTTAAGTACAGGTGCTAAATAGACTAGTATTAAATATCGGGTTTATTTTAAGATTATACTATTTATATATTGGAAATTTATAATATTAAATTAGGTTTTCACTAGTTTAAACTTTCCGATCAGTTAATAATAAATTTATTATATACAATATAATACTATATCATATATCTTATATTTATATTTACCATATTATATATATACACGAATCTAATTATTATACGATTTATTATTTATGATAAATTGTCTATATAAATTTAATATATAGATGTATATATATATATATGATATATAGTATATATTATATTCTGTATATGACTTTTATTGATATATATTTTTTATATTTATATAAATTTTAAGATATATTGATAAATATTATCAAAAAAATGAGAGGGTGAGAAATGATAAATATAAAAAGTTATGAACCATTGATAACCTTGAATTGTATAAAAATAATTTCTTAGATATGATATAATTGAAATGAAATAATTTTTTGGCAAAATCTAAGTTTGTTGGTGACATCAGAACAGAAACACTTTGTTGACTGTTTGCAGCTCAGGGAGGTTTCAGAGTAAGTCTAATAATGATAAAGAGTTTCAAATGAATTATGAATAAAACTAAAAATATAACACATATTATATGTCAAATATTGTCGGCAATACTACACTTGATTTACTATTTGTGTCCAAAGTATTAATAGATTTTTACAATACAATAACTTTGAGTTGTGTGTGTGTGTGTTGTATGTGTGATGAACCACATGTGAAGCAATTGTATAAAAATAGTAATAATATCAACGAAATATTGTTTATCAAATGTTATCTATAAAATTTTTGTACGATTAAATTTTATTTCACAATAATAATCAATATAAATGATGGGCTATTAGATTCCTTAACACTTGATTTAATATAAAGAAAGAGAGAGAGAGAGAGAGAGAAATTGAATACAATTTTTTAACAATCGGGAGACACACAGAATGTCTTTTAAGATAAAATATTTTATGAACCATTACATGTGTATTGTATGTATGTGTGTGAACTTTATCCCTATCCCTCAAATAGCATATCAGTGATTGATATGAATAGTAGGTCCGTAAAGATTTTCAAACATAAAAGGCAAAGGATTAGACAATTGTTGTTATAAGAGGGGAACAGTTGACACACAAACAATTGAATCTTTACTTCTTTATACTTATACAGTATATACTAATATATGTATAGCTATCGGAATGTACGGTAAATGTTATTGAGTTATGAAATTTTATATCAAAAATATTTTGATATATTATTTTTTCATCATTTTGTAGTTCATTTACTCTATAAACACAACAATTTTTAACACAAAATCTCCTAATACTATCTGTTTTTAATAAAAATTAAAAAAAAAATATTAAACGATTAATTTTTTTATTGTCTAACAATATTATAATAATTTATCATTTATTAATTCATAAAAAGTAAATATTACAAAATTTGCATCAAATTGTAATTCATATGTTATAATCTCACATTCAATGCTGTGATGTTGTGTCCCCTTATTTCAAGTAAACTGTATTAGCATTTACTGTGAATATATCTAAGGCTTTGATAAAAGCATTGATTATATGTCTCGCCTGTAGTAATGGTCAGTCAGTCAAGACTTTTGTCTCTCAAAAACGACTGTCTGAAGCCAATTGACAGCTTAACCCCCGCTGAAAGTCATTTTTAAGTGTGGCTTTTAAAACACTTGTAAACAAAGTTAAATCTCTCTTTTTATTGTCTATTGAAAACTGTAGTCCAGTGTTGTTAGGATTTCAAACATATATATAAAGTTTTTAAAATTTCAATTTTAAAGCATATAACGAACGAATATTGTAGTATTAGTTGATTATTGTAATAGTGATACAGTTATTTTGAGAATATTAGATACCAGTGCTGGTTGTAATGTATGTAATTTACCTAACAATCCTACTCATGTGATGTCTCTCTCCTCTCTCTCTCCCTTCTTCATAGAATAGTAAATAAGGAACGGTATATAAATGAAAAAATCCAACTATTCCTTGAAGTGAAATGACAAAACTTTTTTTTTGTGTAATACTAATAATAGGGAGAAAGAAAAAAGAGATTTTTTAAAATGTGAATATTTTGTGTGTGAGAGTATGTCCTCAGGTTTATGTGTTGCACAGGGAGTCTACTGGCGATAGTCAACGATAGCAGTGCACAGGCAGTCGCACTCACTCTTCTACAGCATGTTTAGTCCTGTTTCTAGAGATAGCACAACACAGTAAACAACAAGTTGACTGCCAGTGCCAGAGAATTAGGTGCTCTCACTCAGCACACACACAACAGCACAGGGCTTCTCTACTATCAGTATCTGAGCGCTAAAATCCATAGCAAAAACCAGTCAAACATAACTTTATTTTCGGTGCTGTTTTGGCACAAACTTGTGTTTATATTTATATAAATAAAGTATTTTTTATAATCATTTTATATAATATAATAATAATACTAAAAGTATCCATTGCTACTAACATCACTTGTGATCACTTTTATTGTAAATGTATATTACATTTAGTTTTTTGTGTGAATAATTTCATATTACTTGTATGCTTATTTTGTTTCACTAATATATATTTTGTATGAAAATATGTATATTAATAATAATTAATATTACTGTAAATTGTTATGCAATATAATATGAGTCGATATTTTGCAAAACGTGAGAATTGAATAAAAATATAACTTTTGAAACAATTTACTGGAAAACAAGTATTTAATTAAATTTTATATATTTATTAAAAAAATGTTTATTAACTATAAAAGTGTTTGTTTGTGAAACTTGGTGGACATTACTAAACAGTTATTTCATTTAAATTATAAATAAATCATTGCAAGTATTTATACTGAACTATCCGACGCTATCATAATATGGGTGCCAATAATGTTAAGAGCAGTGGTGGTCAACAAACAAAATCCCGATCACTGTTGAGACTGTCCTCCAAATCGTTGAACAGATCTCACGGTTACGCCTCATCTAACAAACTGTCCTCTAATAATAATTACAATTTAATGCCAGAATTGGACATCTATTTTATTAGACAAATAGCTAGAAGTTTAAGAGTAAGTTATATTTAATATAATTTATTGAAATTATTATTATATTATTAATTTATTAATGAATATTTAAAAGCATATTCAATTAACATGTGTTCATATTATTCGCAAAATATTTGGTTCAATAGTTGTAACCTAAAGAAATGTTGAATTTAATTGAAATAAAAAAATTAAATTGGATTTTAACTTAAAAAAAGCTACAAAAGTCAAACATTTATTTCGATAATCTGTTTATTGTTGGAAAAAAGTGTTATTAAAAATACTTGATATCATTTGTTTTATATGTTTTATTGTTTGAATACATGTCCAACTGATAACAGGATCTTTCCTCGAGTTTTTCATTTTGCTATCATTTATCTATAGATTATTAAATTATTAAAGATTAATATTTATTTAACACTACATTTACAGTCAATATTTTTAACACTTGTATATACAATGTATATTATAAACTATGATTTATACTGTACTTTATTTTGGAGAGTTAATTAAATATTTTCTTAGTTTTACTCAAATGTTTTTGTTAAAAATGTATTAAAACCCATTTTTTAAATTATTTATACAATATTTCAATTCAATACTGGATTTTTTTGGTGCTAACATTCAGCGACTATTTTTTAAATAAAAAATTTAATTTTAAGTTAAATAGTTTAGTATTACGAGAGTTTAATGAATTTTTTGTTGTCTAAAAGCTATAATCTTTAGAAAAATCTGTGTTATACTCAAAAAAAGTTTATTAATTTTTGCTGTAAATAAACAACATTAGTGTTAGTGTAATAACACTTGACAAGTACTGAATACTATATTGTAGAGAAAAAACATTGAATATTTTTTATATACAATTCAATATCAAAAATTATTATATTGTTATCAAGTTTTGCCCAAAAAACCAATTAGTTTATAATATTAAGTATTTCTAGTTTTTATGTTAAGCCCAATGACTTTAGTTTTTTGTCGAATGAATAATAAAAATAAAAAGTTTACTTTCGCTTCTTTACCTCTATTTCTAGACTCTCCCAAAACCACACATAACTTACATTTTATAATCTACTGTATGGTATAAATTGAAAATTATTATCATTTTTATAATTCATTTGATTATATCTAAATTTATAAGCATTTTTTATGAACACACATACAAGATATGATTTGTTAAATATACTGAATATGCTATACTGTATTTATAGTAAAATAATTTCTTAAATAAAATGTTGTTTTACTATTGAATTAATATTGAATTGTAAAGTGAAATTGAAAACATGTAATCATTTAATATTTGTCATGTGAGAGACCCGGGGTTTATGGGCCGGTCCTTAGATAATAATATATATAATATTTTATAATAATCACGCAATGCTTTCTGGGGATCATTTGGATACCAATAGACATATAATAGAGAATAATTATATTTAAATTACACCTATTTTTGTTGCTTCATTGGCGCAAGTCTTTGATATTTGAATTGTAATTAAGATTATTTAAATAACTTATTTTTAAGGTCAATAAGCCAGAAATTATTATTATTTTTAATATTTTTTCACTTTACTATATATTTCTAAATAAAAAACAATAGTCTAAACAATGGTATTTCAATTATATATTAATATATTTATAGATATATATTAAAAGTAGTAATTCTTATTTTTATTTTACAATTTATTATTTAGATATTTATAGAAAAATAATTTTATTTTTGTCTAATATTATATATACTGCAGTATTTATAAATAAAATTATTATATCAAGTGATTAATATCATTGAAAATGTTAAATTAAAGTTTATATTTACTAAGATTCATTCATTCAATTTATTTCATCTCATTTAAATAAATTGTAGGAAATTATAGATATTTTTAGTGGAAATTTTTAAATTCTTGCGTAGATTTTAAAGAAATTTTTAGAATATATTTCTAAATGTCTTCAATAATGAATTCATATTTTTTTTATTAGAAAAATGTTATTCACAAAATAATATATTTGAATAAGGCTATATATTATTTTAAGGATTACTTTAGCATATATTTAAATATAATTTATATATGTATTTTGTCATAAAATTAAAAAATAGGTTATTTATTGTTTGATAAATAATGATTAGATTGATTTGTAATTTTTATAGTATACTGTTATTTCAATAGATATAATATTTAATTGTCTATATTATACATGAAATTCACGAAATTTGTTAAATAAAATTTCAAAACTATTGAAAACTTCAAAACATTAAAATAATAGAGCAGTTTAAAATTGTTTAAAACACATTTTACAATATAATTTTTATTTAATTCAGACATATTTCATCAATATAAAATTTACATAAAAATAATCACAACTTTTATATTAATTTGATAAATGCCAGACTATTTTTTATATAAAATTATTATTATTATTATCAATAGCTTTTTTTAAGACTTATTATTTTATTAAACCAAATTTTAACTGGAAAATGTCAATTTTATTTTTAAATATGAATATTAGTAGTATGTTCAGTATATTATAATATATAGTTATATCATATCATAAATCTATCTATATATTCAAATTTACAAACACACGTATTTTTAAATGTTTTACACAAACACAATGTGAACCACAAATTGTATTAAATACTGTACCGAAGTTAATATAATATTGCAAATAATAATAATATCTACAATAAAAACCGAGTAAAAAGTGTTGCTTTAGTTTTATGTTAATCACGATTTGCTGTTTTCAGATTACATCATACAGTTATAAAAGTCCATAATAATAGCATATATATAAATGGTGTGTGTGTTTATGTGTGTATGTATGTGTGTGTGTGTGTGTGTGTGTGTGTGTGTGTGTGACCTCGTTTTTATAGATCACTGGGTTGATAGTCGTCCATATTATGAGCCAATAAAGTACTTTTTAGATTATTTAAAAAGCTTTTTTTACGATTGAAAATGTTTTTTATTTCTATTATATTTTTAAGTATATCTTTGGAAGCAAATACACCATTAAAAATACGAACAAATAAGTCTAGAATTTTTATTTGAAATTTGCTATTTTTATTTTTTGTTTGTTTGCTATTTTGTTACAACTATACTTGATATATATTGTTATTTTTAGTAGTTATCTCAAATTGTATATATGTCAATTAAATTAATACCATTGTAAATTAATGTACTTATTGTTAATCTTGTTTGTACTGTATTTTGTGACACATATTGCTAATTTATATGTAGCAAATTGATCAATATCAATTTGGTATATGCTATTATACTATACATCTAATTTAATAGAAGTAGCTAAAAAATATTGAATACAATATCTATGAATTTTATGAAAATAATATTCAAAAAATAAAATTATCACATTTATTAGCCATTGTTGATTGTTTAAATTGTTTAAATTAGTTAATTTATCCCTTCATTAGCAACATAGTATAATTAACCAAATTTTGCAAAATTTCTATATTTTTAAAAATTTTATATATAAGTTATATATATTAGTTTAATAAAAGTTTAGTTAATTTAGCATTAATACATTATTTAATATACTAGATCAAAGTAAGTTTATTAATAGTGCTATTGAATAATAAAATGAATAACTATTTTTAGAACATTTTAATTAATTTAAATAAATTTATTTGATATATTTTAATTCAATTTATTAAGATATATAAAACATATCAAATTAATTAAATCATATAAAAAATTTGTTTGTATCAGACAAATGCATCATATATTTTAATTTTGGAGTAAATTTTGTTTTTAAAAACTATTATATAACGAAATCTTAATTACATTATTTTGTTATTATTTACTAAAATAATTAGTTAACTCGTAATTCAAAGCTATTATACACTAATAAATAATCATTATTACTGTTTTACTCTATTTTAATTACAATCACGAATATTGATTGAAATGATAGAAATGGTAGTATAATTATAAAGTTAAAAAATGTTGTTTAGATTAAAGTATTATTTCAATTTAAAACAATTTTTATTTGTTTTCAATCAATCAATTTAATACTTTAATCAAATATATTATCTGAAAATAACTATTTTGTATTAGTTATTGTTATTTTTCCTTTTATTGATATATTTATTTTTTGAAAACATTTTTCAATTAATATTAGATTATATTAATTGATAATACATGAAATAGATTGAATTGAAGTATATCCAGGTGTCCATTATTTTTATTTAAAAATTTAAATTTATCAAACAATATGTTTGAGCTGTTATTGATCCCAAATACCCGATTCTCTCAGTATCTTGACTTAAAGATATCACTATTATTGATGGTGTCCTTGACTATTGTCTCATCAGTAGCTCAGGTAGTGTTTGAGATCACGAGATTATGTGCTAAATAATGCTAACTTTTCATAAATAAAAATATGGTTATACAGTGTGTGTGACACAAACTCATTGGTTTAGTTTTTGAAAAGTATTTTTAAACCCAATCTTTATTTCACACAATATATACAGTACTGAATGTATGTCTATATCCATATAATTAACTGCAGAGGCATTTCTGTAAGATATTTATATATATATTGAAGCCCTGGTTATGATTATTGGCTAATACTAGGGGCTAATAATTACAATAATTGAAGTGCTGCTGCTTTTTGTCTACCATTGGACAGACAGCCTCTTGTATTTCCTTTCAAAAAACGGTTTTTACTTAAATTCATAGCTTAGGGATATAAATAATATTTAGTGAGAGAGAGCCTAAATTGTGTTCATCTGTTGCTCAAAGAGAGGGACAGTAAGGGAGAGTGTCTGACTGTTAACCATTAATATTTGCCTCACATAAGTGATGGCCTTTTCCATCATCCGATGATGACTTCAAATAAATAGGTCTAACGCTTTTGCGATGTTTGTAAACACGGTTGGGTCAGTCTTCTCACTAAATATAATACTTTTTTTAATAAAAACATAATAACTTATGTAAAGATTTTTTGAGTTACATATTGTTTGTTTCAAATTTGTAGGCACATTGTAGGTTAGGCTCAAAAACAATAGAAATTGAGAGTCA